GTTCCCTGAAGGAAAAAAGGATAAACTAGATATTTTTTGCACATATTGTCTCCTTCATAAAGTTCTCATGAATTGAACAATTTTTACAGTAATGGTTAGTAGTATCGTTAAACATGTAAAATTATTTATTTGTAACCAGCCAAGTGTTTCTTCTTGCATTTTAAGAAACCTACAAAGAGAAAGAGATGCAACATAAAGCATTGAGATGTTGATCAACACTTGGTGAAGTTTGGAAAAGATCACCATTATGAGGTAACTATAAACATTTGATAAACCAAGCTTATGCTCAAAATTTGGGAATAAGACTTAGGAGCATTTAACCCTTTCTTTATTACCATAAGTGTTTTAAAACTCATATTTACTATTGTATAATACATTTATTTTGAGAAAGGGTAAGCTTTACAAGTCTTTGAAATATAAACATGTATCGACAAAATAGTCATCATATTGTGGATTATGCGTTTTCCTGTTGCGACGTGGAGACATAAAGTCAATAAATTTACCGTTTTATTACGATCTTCTGCCATTGAACGAAGCTCTGTGGCATCTATAATTCGCTCTGGTGTAGCTGCAAGTGGTGGAAGCACTGACGTAATACGTTCATCCAACGTAGAGCAAGATAAATATTTATCTGCCGTTGGTTAGTTGTTTATATTTATCGTTTCAACGCTCGTACCCTACCCTCACATGTAAGTGCCCTCCCCCTCCCCAGTGCAATGCCTCCCCCTAATACATACACACAGATCTATTGCCACCCTTGCTATCACAGCAATATATATTGCTTTAATATAATTATGGGTACGGTTTTGTGGATTCTCGTTTTTTTGAAAATCACATTTTGAATTAAAGTATCCTCAAAAAATAAACGAGAACTAATGAAAATGAATTGTATAGCTGTTTTTCTAAAACTGAGTGATTTAGATATAGTTTGATTTTCTACGCTATTAATTTATGGATACTGTTGATTTTTGTAAAATGTTTTTATATGAAATAAGTATTTAGGGACTGTTTGACATTCTTAAAATTTTATTGGCATTTGCAAATGTACCTGTATTTATCACTTTTTTCGTATCAATCCTAAAGTTTTGCTTTAAGCATTATTATGTGATTATGTAACGTGATTTTCTATGCTTTTAATTTTAAAGGTTGTAACGCTGTTAAGTCATATTATTATACGGCAAACTTCACTTCCGGCTAAATGGCGCGCTTTGATTGGCTCAGAAATATTTTTGCCGGTCCATTATTTTCCCGTAATCGACCACGGTCCAAAACGCGTATTTTACAGTCAAATGTAAACAAACTTTGTAAAGCAAACTGCAAAACTCAAAATAAACGAAACAAAAAACCATTTACAAATGTTATTCGAAGGAAAAACACTTGCTTAAAGGCTCATGTCTCTTGACTCACACAAACCCACTCATTATCATACAGAGATTTATAATGGCAATAGCATCATTAAGATTGCAACTACATTGGCCTTACGAACATATGAGCAATGGCTCATAACCATATATAATTGCTCATAAACACTTGCTCAAATGCTCATGTCACATGATTTACACGAACACGTTCCTTTACATACAGATATACATAAAGGTAAAAGCATCAGTTAAGATTGAACCTTCATTGGTCTTATGAGCAGATGAGCTCTTACTCAAAACAACTTATAGCTGCTCATAAACACTTGCTCAAATGCTCATACATGTACGTTTCTACCTAAAAATATTGCATTTTCAGAAAGGTCTTACAGACGGAATGAGCTGCAAATATTGCGGAAAAGTTCTTAAAGGAGGTTTTAACTTACGCCGTCACGAGAAAGAGTACTGTCCACAGAGGCATCAGGGAGAAATGTCTCAATCAGACTCAAACAGTCAGGATTTACAATTGATGATAATGCTTCGACAAGTTCTATTGTTGAATCTGAAAGTTGGATGTCAACAGAAAGGTATGCCTAGACAAAAGAGGAAACAGATCATTGGATACCATTGATAGAGGAGGTAAGAAAAAGAAGTGATGCAGAATTTGGTAGAATGAAAGAAAGCCTTTTTAACAGCGGTCTAGATGAGCAGTCAGCTGAAGATCAGGCATATTCTAACATTCTGCCAAAACTACAGAAAAAACTGGAAAGCATTTACATGCAACGTCTTATGTGGATATGTGGATAAACCAATTGAAAAAAGATCCCATCCACAGAAAAAAAATGCATACAAAGAAAGCGTTTATGGAAAACGACGACTTTGGTCCACAGTAAGCTATGGAAGCAGCCGGTGACAAGAGAAAGTTCCTTATTAACTAACTTTTAACGGAATACAGCTTTACTGACACGATCAATGATAAAAATAATTAACTGTGATCTATGAATTTTTGTTACGAGAACCTTTTGGTTATGTTTATGTTTTAATGTTGAATAAGTTAAAATGAACTGTTTTCGAGTAAAAAAACCTCTATGTGCACCGAAATTCTTTATAATGATTTCTGTTCTATCTTCTTTATCTTGAAATATGATAAGCATCAGCCAACTATACAGCGTGTGCGCAAAATATTGAAGTTTGGCATTCGAAATCATGCTTAAAAATGAAATTAATTCATCCGTGGAGGAGATGCTTGTATTTTCACAAAGAGCATTCAAATATCTCAAGACTAAAGCAGATTAAACTCCCTCCTCATACTCATAAGACGGAAATAGCAATATCACGTGAAAAAAAGATCTGACAGCGATTTGACAACGATGACTAATAAGTTTTTACGACGCAGCTACATGCATATAGCGCTGACATTTTTTTTGTTTTCATTAACTGAAACTAATAACAGTTGTTGAGATAATTTAGTTTTTTATAGTAAACAGTACTGCTGATTAAAGCGTACGATTTCTCTCTTTTTTAAAGTATCGGACAGTCGATAAACTGAAATTTGCAAATTCCTTTAGGCAGTGGGCAGGATTGGGCAAGTTCTCTTTAGACAAACACGCACAATAGACAAACACGCGCAATTAATAGTTCTGTTATTTTGAACCATTCATTAAGTAGAGCCAATTAAAATTGTACTAGTTTTGATATTTTCAGTCGGTGGTCTATAACGGTCCGCTATTTTGCATAAGAATTAACCATTCTGCCGTGAATAAGGGGAATTATCGATGATACTTTTAACGGTAAGTTCATCTATCAAATATTGTTGAATTATAGTTCTAAGTTTCACGAAGGTAGTATTTTTTATTTTTGGTGACTTTTATTTTTATAGTATTCATATGGTGAGCTTCACTGATCGCTTAAATAATTAAGAATGCAAAAGATTAATTAATGTTATTCAAAAAGCTCATTGTCTCATATTGCAGTTTATCTTTTTGCTTCGTCACAAATATAATTGTCCAGTCTTTGCACATATACTTGATCAATTCTAACCCATTTCTTTAGGACTAAGGTCACTTATACTTTCGAAGAACGATTTCATTACATCTTCTTCATCAATTTCTAATCTGGCATTTTCAAAGTAAATCAGTATTCTTTCATTGTTCGGCATCATCAAACACTCATGGCGTTTTTGCGAAGGGAAATTTACACTGCAGCCGTAACAGTCTTTAGCTACAAGACTTGATATTATGTACCTTATTTCTTCGGCATAACACTTTAACAATTTATCTTGTATGATTTTATGACGTTCACCTATCGCCTCGTACTCTTCGTCAATATCAAATGTTTCCTTAAATTTCGGTTTACTTTCACGGACTGGCAACTAACTGACACGGGTAAGAGCTCCGGTTATTTCTGGGACGATAGCTACACGCTATCTATTTATACCTTTATAAATTCTGAAGCTTTTTATTATTATTGCATAGTACGGAAGCAATAAATTTTCCATGCTTCGGCATTAAATTTTGTGGTAGGGCTTTCGTCTTTTTCCCGTAAATTTTCAATGAAAACTTTTTTAATCAACATGAGTCATTCGTGAAAATTCTTAATGGAAAAAATAACTTTGTCAATGTTTTTACAATATGCATTTTGATAATCTCAAACGCACTTGAACTCGGGGAATGCAATTTCAACAGTGGGGGGTGGGGGCACAGCCCTCCGCCTCTCTTGCGACACCCAACAGTCGTTGTTTCCAATTCATATTGCTTCACAATTGCCAGTGCTGCCTTAACTGGTTGATAAATCCAAAATTTTTGTTATTGTTTCCTATAAAACGCTTTTGCCTGCTATCAAGCGAAGTCAAATCATTGAACGAAAATACATTGAACGCTCCCTGTAATACAAAACCCTAATAATTTTTGAAGCCGCGATTTTACCCCAGACACGCGTGTGTAGTCAATCAATTATTACTCCGCGAGACAATCTCGAAACACTACACATGCGTGTCTGGGTGTAATCTCCCGTGTTTGGGGAATTTTACACATCATTGTTGCCAGATTGTGAACAAAGTTCATAGATTTATGAACTTTTGATTTTTATTTTGAATTTTTGTGAACAAAAAGAATTTTGTAAACATTTCATAAACTTTTACTAAAAATTGAAAACTTTTTATGAACTTATCAGTTATAAAAGACAAGCTTGTTTACAATGAATATACACCGGTTTAGAGATTCGAGACAAAGCATAATTCATTCTTCAATGTTGATGTGGAGGGAATTTATTTTTCTGTGAATGCTATCAAAACTAAAGGAAGAAATAGGTTGCTCACAAAGTCAGTGTGCGGTATTCTAAAAGTTAAGCAAGGAGTGAAAGAGTCAGGAGGCTGTGTTAAATTTTCTCCTTCGACCAATGCTTAAAGTATGACACCCGACATTCTTTATGCTCAAGACTCTGACTCAAGCGACAAATCTGAATCGAATTAAATAATTGTTTTTCATTGTTAATTTTTTCGTTATTTTGTACAAATGTGCAATGTGCATCATTTAAATTTACATGAGATTTAGCTCATTCATTCATTTTGTGCAAATTATGCAATTTTTGTCGATTGGTGGACATTGGTGGATAATATGTGAACTTTTGAACATGCCGACATGAACTTATTTAAAATTCATCTGGCAACACTGCTACACATTGATGATTTTACCGTGTAGTGTGGTAGAATTAGCGTTTTTTTAATCTTCTCGTCGTCAACATGAATATGCAAGTTCTGTGATTTAGTCATAAAACATGAATTTTGACAACATTTACTGGGGTAAGTTTACTTAAATGGTTTTTATCATGAAAAGAGCAAGGGGAAAGGTCAGAACTATTTTTGAAACATATTATAGCAACAGCGCAGCGTAATGTTTACAACAAATTGTTTGCAATGTAAGTCACATTTTAATCATATTTATTTGATTGTATTATAATTAATCTGGATGTATTATTACGGACTAGAAAGTATAAATGTAATAAATGTTTGGCGTCGGCGTCTAGCCTAAAATCCAAAGAATGCCGGAAGTGATGACTTATTCTCAAATATTAAATATATTACCACGTACTTCGGTTATACCTCGTAATTGTACGACAAATTGCACGACTAGATAGCTTAAAGCCTTAATATTCTCCAACATAATTTTAATCGCTTGCTGTGGACGTTTATGTAAACAAATACGATCGCAATTTGCGCGACCATATCGATGTAGTTCTGTGATGATTCATTGATCGAAATTTTACATATTAAGTACTTTAAGTTGTTTGACAAAACATAGTTAATCGTGATAAACTACTTGAAGGTCCCATTTAATCTGTTTACAAGCAAATTGGGACATTTCTCTTATTTAAATGACCTCAATGCGAGCATAATTTTATTGTTAATTTCCCACTCAATTTTTGTTTACTTTTTTTAATATCGAAATCAGGGGCGGATCAAGGGGTAGGCAACTAAGGCACTTGCCAATAGTGAAATTCCTAAGTTGATCTCCGTTAGATTTTATACTATATAGAAACTAGAACAAAAAACTTGTAAGTTAATTGTTATGTGGTTTGCAGACCAGTCAGTAATCAATTTAGTAATAGCTCTGCTGTTGATAGGCAGAGAGAAGCCAACTTTTGCCTAACTTCACTAGACGATCTAGCTATTTGACTAGTATATATTCATTTCGCCTGACCTAGACGAATATTGCACAATTGACATCATCTGCAGGCTTACTTATTCAATGAGTTTTATAAATTGTGTGTATTCATTGGCCTACTTTTTGCCTAACTTAAGCTGTAAGCCAAATGAATCAATCATGGTAGTCACTAAGAATTGTGGTGTTTAGCATTTTAGGCAAGTAAGTAAATTGTATATAAAATTTATATGTGACTGCTCAATCTGCATTTGCAAGATATCATTTAGTATGTTTAAACAATCTCTATAACAGCTGTTGTGTATTATTTATGCCACTTATGCTCAAGTTTGACCAGTACAGTAATAAGTAAATGTGGAAAACCACACTCTTTACGACAATAATAAGAATTCCACTGTGTAAATGTGAATATGTGTTATATTTATGAATATTTATGCTATTATTTGTATATTAAGTTATAAATATTTGTCTATAAATAGGTCATATATTTGGTGATGCAAATGCAGGCTAGATCATAATTTGATCATGTGATGATAAACATGTTCAAGTCATGAGGTTCACATTCTACTGAAAGCAGTTAAGCAATAATTCTGTAGCATTTAATTTCTCCATTATTACCATTCTGACTAACTTAAGTACTTTCCTTAAAACTGAAGGTGTATTCCTGTATGTAGTTTAGGCAACCATACTTTAGTTACGAATGTTTGATATATCAATTTACTGGCAGCAACTTTGTTTGTGCAATACCCTTTTTTGATTTTGTTTATATGTTTAATGTTCTAACAAATTTAATCTGTAAAAAGGGGATGTTAAATGTATATGGATGTTTATAGATGTAAATTTTGTTGTATGATTATAGTACTAATATTATATTTAGCCATCTGATCAACATGTCATTTCGTTTCCACTGAATACTGCCAACTTGAACTGTGTTAGAGACTGATCCTAATGTTTCAAGTGCAACTCCCAAATCTACGATGGTTTGTTTGTATTCTTTCTGTAACCTCGAACCATAATAATATCGCCTACCTCGAACTGCCAAGTCTTTTTCTCTTTGGGTATCGATCTTTCCATCACCGATTCTGCCAGAAAAGGTCTTCACACGTTCAATCTTGTTCTCCCTCTTCTTCCCAGAAACAGCTCACTTGGTGTAATCTTTGTCTAAGTTTGCGGTGTTGTATGGTATTGTAATGAGAGCAAAGCCAGTTTATGATTTAATGTACAACATTCACACTCCATAGTTTTCATTGTATACTTAAAAGTACAAACAGCTGGTTCCGCTTCATCATTTTAGCTTGGATGATACGAAGCTACAATTTGATGTGATCTAAGGACAGTATCTACAATGACAAAGGACAGAATCTAAGATGTATAAATGAATTAAGTGCGAAAAGGGAGTATTTAAAAGGGAATGGAAAAGGTATTGAGAAGGATGTATTATAATAAAGGGTATTTGAAGGGGGCACTAAAAGGCAGTTTTAAAATGCTGAAAAAGGGTAGTCCAACAGGAATGTAAACAATTTATAATGGCCGTAAAGTCCATTGAACTAATGTAGGTCAATGTTGAGGCACTGATTTCGAAAATTGTTGTTATGTGGGCAGGTTTTGGGTCCTTCAGCCTCGTTTTCACGAAAATCGTGATTTTAGCATTATAGCCATTTCCAATAAACTTACACTTTCACGTTGTAAGAGGTTTAAATTATCAAGAAAAAGACAATTTAGTAAAGAAGGCGTATAAGAAAAATAAAAAAGTTTTACTTTTCCCCGATTCGCCTAAATTTTTAATGCTTTTTGCTAAGCGTCATTTCCCAGCGTACGTCCGCAAAGAAATTTTTGGAAACGAATTTTACTGTTGTTCGACTAAATAACTAGTTCTATTTGTCAACTATAAACTAATAGCTAATGGTGTACGTATTTTTAAAGATTTATGTAGTTTTTGGACACTAAATAAATTTAACAAACTGCACTTGCTTGTCAGTCATCTTCTTCGAAGTGATCGTATGCGCCATAATCATGCATAGGTTTCTGGCCCATTTATCTCTTCTACATTGACTAGAAGTTTATGTATAAATCATTGGGATGTAAAACATTGAGCACAAAACACAATTTTAAGTCTCACACATGTTTGATTTAAATAATATTAAATATGCGTTATTATTTGAACTATGGTTGTGGAACTACTTCATTTTGTGGCCATTTACTTGACAGGCCGCACACATTTAAGCACTGCGTGCCTATTTTTTGTGCATCGACACCATGGTTAAAAACCTTTTGTTGATTACATTATGATGAATATTTAGATGTTGATTACATTATGTAAAATATTTTATGCATTTTCTAGTAAAATGAAATGACACCTACTATATCTTTCTACTCCAATGGCACCTACTATATCTTTCGCTAGAAAATAAAAAATAATTTAGACAATAGAAATATGTTCTCAAACCTTTAACTTTAATACGCTCGAATCATACGTACAAGGTTTTATACACAGCCCACAATAAGCAGAACTTTTGATTAACTTCAGGTCAGCTTTCCAGGTCAAATTGCGACGGTGAAAAACCTGATTTTGAAGGTCAATAACAGTGGTGCATGCTCAATTTTATATAACAAATCATTGAATGTGATTCATGTGAAACAGCTTTTTACTATCATATTTGTATTTGTTGTATGTTATAAAAGCAATGTTTCCACACTAGAAAGACATTTTTCGTTTCATCTTATATACATGAGCATACATCACAACAAAGGTCAGACAATAATGAAATATCGAATTTTAAACAGTTTTTGTACGAAATGTATGCAATGGCATAAGTATTAAACTTTTACCATAGTTTCTGAGTAGCAGCAAGTTTAAAAAACATTTAAAAAAACGAGGATTTTTTATATGCAAACATGTTTCTACATTAACAAAATGCCATCATTTGTACGAAATGATTAGTGTTACGAAATATGATAAAGTCTAGGAAGTTACGATATGAATAAATTGTTTACAGTGAATGGGAATGTGATATAATTAAAAGGCGTTTTAATGGTTTTATCTTGAAAGTCAGTAGCTTCCATTGCATCTAGCGATCTATTGTGCATTATCTAGTTTTGAATCTGACTCCTTTCGATCAACTTTATTCTTAATTCAGACGACTGACACTTAACAATTACTTGATCTCGACTCTGCTCCGAAAATTGATCTAGAAAACCATAATTTTCTGTGTGTCGTTTCAGCTTGATCACAAATTGATCGATGTGTAGTATTATTTACATATAGACAAATCTAAAAATCCTATCTGTTATTTTATGATTACAGATAAACTGCATTTTGACATTTTTAGATGTGGGAAGATAACAAAGATAATGAGTTTCAAATTCGATTGTTTTAATAATTCCAAAATATATAACTACACCAAAATGATACTGACATAATAAACAAACTTGGCATGGAAAATTACAAAACTGGAAAATACGAAATAGCCAAAGAATGTTATGAAAAAGCACTGGACATTCAAAAAAAATGTCTTGGTCGTGATCATCTTGATGAAGCTACTACTTTAAACGATCTTGGTAATGCGTATTTTGAAACTACAGAGTACGCTAAAGCAAAAGAGTTCTATGAAAAAGCGCTGGAAATTCAACAAAAACCATTAGATCGTGAACAAGTTGATGTAGCTACGACTTTAAACAATCTTGGTATGGTGTTCAAAATGAGTGGAGACTATACCAAATCAAAAGAGTTTTATGAAAAAGCTCTGGAAATTCAAAAAAATTGCCTAAGTCCAGAACATGTTGATGTGGCTAAGTCTTTAAACGATCTTGGTAATGTGTATCTTTGCACTAAAGAATATGACAAAGCAAAAGAATTTTTTGAAAAAGCGTTGGAAATTCGACAAAATTCACTAGGTCCAGAACATGTTGATGTGGCTACGACTTTAAACAATCTTGGTATGGTGTTCAAAATGACTGGAGACTATACCAAATCAAAAGAGTTTTATGAAAAAGCCCTGGAAATTAAAAAAAAAATTCTAATTCCAGAACATGTTGATGTGGCTAAGACTTTAAACGATCTTGGTAATGTGTATCTTTGCACTAAAGAATATGACAAAGCAAAAGAATTTTTTGAAAAAGCGTTGGAAATTCGACAAAAATCACCAAGTCCAGAACATGTTGATGTGGCTACGACTCTAAACAATCTTGGTATGGTGTTCAAAATGACTGGAGACTACACCAAATCAAAAGAGTTTTATGAAAAAGCCCTGGAAATTCAAAAAAAAAATCTAAGTCCAGAACATGTTAATGTGGCTAAGACTTTACACGATCTTGGTAATGTGTATCTTTGTACTAACGAATATGACAAAGCAAAAGAATTTTTTGAAAAAGCGCTGGAAATTCGACAAAAATTACTAGGTGCTGAACATGTTGATGTGGCCACGACTTTAAGCAATCTTGGTATGGTGTTCAAAATGACTGGTGACTATACAAAAGCAAAAAAATTTGATGAAAAAGCGCTAGAAATCAGGAAAAAATCAATAGGCCTGGATTATGTTGTTCTTGCTGAATCTCTAAACAATTTTGGTATGTTATTCCATATTTTTGTATATTATGACATATATATAAGCGTTTTGAAGTTATTGAAATTCCAGACAAAATTTTCTGGTATTGCGTGTTTTTCAAATACATGTACAGTGTGCGAATTAACGGTGTGCAATGTGCAATTTGCACATCGTTTTAGCTAAAATGAAAACAATTGCACATCACTTTTTCAAACGATATGCAAAAAACTTCTTTATTGATTATCACCACGTAAATTGGAAAATGTTTTCAAGCTTAATCTTTACTGATCTTTACTTTATAAATACAAGCCAGGGAAAGTCATTTTTATCAGAAATATATTTTGTCTGTTCCATAATGAATAAATACTTCTGCTAGCTAATTCCTTTTAACTTTTCGTAAAAATTGGACAAAATTAACAAATATAAATAAAAATTATACGACATGAAGTAAAACTTTCCATTGCTTCAACTTTCTTTGAATATTTTTGTCAAAATTCTAGAGTTACAATACTTGGATTTTAACACATTTCTATATTATCTTAAAAATTAAGTTGCTATATCTTTGTTGTTAAAAGAAACAGAAATTCTAACAACATACGCGAATTCTTGGTTTTTTCTTTTTATTTTGCTTGTAAACCTTACAGCTAATGAGTTAACGTAGTCTTTCCCAAGAAATATATTTATTATAAAAAACACTCTTCTTTGTTTTATGCTATGGTTCACTTTCTTTAGATGTTAGACAATTGTATACTTATAGAAAGGTCCAGATTAACTTGTTGACAACTTTTATACATTTTTCATAGAAATGAAGACTGATGATACTTATGATGTTAAACCCCCCTCAAATTTACGTGGGAATATAGAAAAAGGTATGCTTATTATATTATATATGAAATTTGGAATTTTATTAGAGGACTGTATAAGAGTCAAAAAAGTCTAAAAATCTTCTGAAATCTAGATCAAGTTGATGTTGTTGATTCTTTAAAGAATCTTAGTACTTTGTTAATAAATATTCCTCAATATTATAAAGTCAACCCTTAGAAAACTTTGGTTGACGTGAAACTTCTCATTTTCACGCGTTTTTTCTTCTAGTTTGTAGAATTTCACATAACACATGTCACTTTAGCAAAAATAGGATTCTTTAAAAAACAAGCATTGATCTAAGAAATTTTCATACACGAAACCTCAAACGTACAGTAAGTCCAGGTGGTTCACTTTCTTCATTTAAGCCCCAAAATGAGGTACAATGCTATCGGAAAGAATACATATAATATAGAAGAAAAATACGAAAATTAATTAAATTCTATTCTTCTTTGAAAGTTTTAATATCACAGAAACTTTAAATCAACTTAAAAAAGAATCATTTTAACTACATAAATAACCTGTCGTATAAGAAATTGGTTGTAAAAACTGAGTAGTTTCCTGCAAAGTTATAACTTTAGTTATAATAAAGTTATAATTATAGAGTCAAATCCTAAAGCATGTGAGCCGTACCTTCTTTATGTTAAAATATTTTTTATGTTAAAATATTAGCTACCTCACATGCATTATTGAAAATAAAAACTCAAGCTAGAGTTATAAAATTTGGGGACAAATTATTTCGGTGCATAATTTTGATACTAAAATAATAAGTAACGGGCATGAAAACATTGACGCACGACACAATTTAGTTTACCATTTGTCCCATCTATATGCAGTCACTAGGTTGCACTACATATTTTATATGCGTGACATGTGTGAAGTGTATTAAAGTAAATTTGAAAACTGAACGAGACTTATCTAAAGTCAAAGCTTCATCGTAATTCATTGTTGTCATGAGTTAGGAACGAAAGAATAAGATAAAAAGCATGCACATTCAACAGTATTTTACGCAAACAATAGCTTAATATGCACAAGAGTTAGTGTTGTTGTATCACATAGTTTCTCTTGATGACAAGTAGAATTTAAGTCCAACTTCTACTTAAGGTAAGTCTTGTTCAATTTTAAAACTATAACTCTTCATCAGTTTTGCCATTAGACAGAAACATGATATTTTGAAGATTGGGGTAATAATTGTAATAGGCATGTTATCACAAGATGTTCTTGAATAAAAATTAATACAGATTAATGGAAAATTTTGTTTGAAATACATACACTGGCCTAGTGAGTTTTAGTTTGTTTGTAGTGATGAATACATTTTTCCAGTTTTGTACCAGTTATAAATAAAGCTTGTGATTGTTCTGACCACTTTGTCTCCATATAAGTGACAGCAGCATAACAGCATAACCAGTATATGTGTCTGTTTAAGTTAGAGTTCTAGGGTCAGGTTTACTAAACTCTCGCATAATAACTTTTTAAGTCTTCGGTAAAACCTTTTGAATAAAGCATAAATCAACCCTCTAACACTCATTATTTTACACTCCACATTATTGATTCCGCATCATTTTAATATTTTTATAAAATAGAACATCATAAGCATTACATTTACACATCAACAATTGCAATAAGTATATTTTGGGCGCATTGATATGCTCAACACTGCAGGGACATGTAAAACTTAATGTAGTATGATGAGAATAAAGTCAGTTGTGGGTTAAAATTACCAATACGAATTAAGAGTAAATAGACTATGCAGACGACTGAGAAAAGTCACAGTGGCTGGGGGGCAGGGGGGCAGGGCCTCCCAGCTGTTGATTTTGGGGGGCGCTGAAGTAAAAACGATTCATCTAGTTTTACATTTGGGCTATACAAAAATTAAAAACGCATTCAAATAATGCGTCAGTTACCGAGAAGGCTAAAACTCCGTCAATCTTAGATACCTGGAAACTGCTTTGTTTTCCACAGTACCATTTAGTCGACGCATACTCAACATTATGCAAAGTTTATTCAATTGCAGTGGCCATACCCATTAACTCAGCAATTGCTGAACGTTCTTTTTCTTCGCTGAAGAGAGTAAAAATGAGGATTCGATCTACGATGTTACAGGAACGCCTGGAATCATTGCTTTTAATGGAAGTTGAAAGGGAAACTCTCGTTTCTATCGACAAAGATAGAATCATAACTTTACTTGAGAAAACCTCCCCAACGCCTGCAAAGGCATTGATATCAATATATTTTACAATGAAAAACAAATAACGTATCAGACATATAATTGCTTGATCATACTTGGTTTTAAAATTACTTTCTTTTTTATGAAGATTCCTGTTTGTGTTTTATAAAATAAAAATAACTAAAATACTTGAAAGTAGCTGTAAGAAAAGGTAAAAGGGGCGCAAAATTTGTTTTGGCCACCGCAGTAAAAACTATGCAACCACGCCACTGAGCAGTCATGGCATATTCTTTAAAGAGCTTAAAAAATTTCTTGACGCAAAATCCAAAATGACGCATTCTTTATTCAAGAAGAAATGATTGAATACATCATCAATGTTGGCTGATAATTTATATCTCCGTATCGCACGCATTACTGATACAAAAAATTACAGATTAATCTCATTATAGTATTGTAGAACTTCTACAGTACATCAATCAAATTTGGAGCTAGTATTTTAACACGTTGTCTTACTCGAAACACATTACTACTGAAAGCACTTTTAATGTTACCCATAGTTACATTGAAATCAATATAACACACTTTTTATGCATTCTAACAAGTCTCATGCTGTGTATATTTACATAGTGGATGTAGGATGTCCAACTTTTTGTACGAAAGTAGAAAATACTATTGAATTGCTTTAAATGTGTGTGTTTTTCAGAGATTGAAAAAATTCTGTTACAATTAGCCAAAGCAATTCCTGATAAATGGAAGGATTTGGCAATATTTCTGAGTCTCGGACTTGAGAAAATAAAAGAAATTGAACTAAATCATCGTGAGAATGTGGCCTGGCAAGGGTTTACAATGCTAAAGTTTTGGTGGGATAATCGAGAAAAGAATCAGTTGTGGTACGAAGAACTTGCTGACGCTTTTCGTAAGATCGAAAAAAATAATTTGGCTGAAAAAGTTGTTCATGAAGGTGCAAGTGTTGCTAAACGTTTTTAAACTGGAATCAAAATATCGACTGTCCTTTTTTTATAATCGCCATTTTCATGTAAAACTCAGAAGCAGATATTGGATAAGTAATAGTTGCGCTTAAATAAACCTTTTGAAAGGAGCTAAAATGCTTTTGCTAAGGGGCTGTTCATATGAGCCCAGCTGACCGGGATACAGTAAGACATGAGATGATTTCGAGGCATTGAAAGGAGGAAAAATTTTAAGCTTAAAAATTACAATTGTTGTTAAACGCCACAAGTCATTCCTGTTAAAATTCACAAAATACACCAAACCAGCTGTTTCACTCTTAAATGTTTTGCGTAAATATTAAAATCAGAATATTGTGAAATTACTCAATAAGATTTATCTCATGATAAGTATAGAATCATTTCCATTTGCCAAAATTATTTAGCGCCTCACTGAAACCAATGAGGGGGTCTTATATGAACAACCTGTACAGCATTGCTTTCATATACATGTAGATAGTAACAATATATAGACACCATAGTAATCAATATAAAAATTTTTAACCTTGAACAATGAAATATGTGTTTGTCTGTTGCTTGGCGTTTACTTTTTCCCTGTGCCAGTGGCGAAAAAACTAAATATCTAACAATGTTGTACAGTGTGCAAAATAATTAAATGATAGTCCTGTGAGGATAAAGAAATAATTCTTGAACATGATGAATAAACTAACGCGTTTAAATTGTATTTTTAATAACATGGCTAACTGAACATTCTTTTACAAACATGTTTATTTAAGCGGGGTTTTTCTAGTATGCCAATCTCAAATAGTGTAACTTCAGTGAACATATCTTATAGCTTTCTCAAGTTAGTCTTTGATTAATAAAAGAGTTAGCATGAAAAAAATAGCCATAAGCCTTGATATTACCTGAATAACCTGAAATGCCATCTTTCTCCTAGTCCATTTACTCTTCCAGCCACGTTTTTACAGAAAGAGAGAGATGAGTTATTTTTTCCCGATGACTTATACTCGGCATTACAATTTTTGAGACGTTTTTTTTTAATTTTCTATTATCTTTTAAGAGCCAGCTTACTAAAATTGACAATTCACTCACAATTGTACATAATAAGTATAGCAATAATTAAGCTGACTGAGGTATTTTATAAAGAATTTTATAAAGTCTATTTGCTGATGTACTCACGCATTACTTTTCTATCTTCAATGACAGTTAGTGTACGTAACTATTATATTCAGTTCAAAGGGAAGATCTGGGATTTCTTTGCAGTTTATGCATTAGCCACAGAGTTTTCAGGTAATTTTCTTCATGATTTTTTTCTGCGATAATTGAGTTTTTAATGGTGTACACGAGGAAATACAATACCAAATATAGTGGCCTTGACTGTATCAGTTATTTTTACTGCAGTTACATCCATAAAGTTTTATTTATGTTCACCCCAATTCTTTGATTTTGATCAAAAATGGATAATTGACAACAACGACTCCATAAAGATTACTTACTTTGTTTATTATATGAAATGCAATACAGAGTAACGAGTATATACCATTAGATTTTCTCATCCTATAATAATATTGACTTATGACCATTTAATCATAAAGGTAAAAAGACTCTAACTTTTTTATTTTACGAAACAAAGCGTTTCATATACTTTTATAGAGAGTTTGAGTGTGAGTCAATACTAATTAACATAAACACGACTTTCTTCTAAGACGTTCGAGTGATAACGACATATCCGTCTCCTTTGTCATTAAATGCTGACTTGTTCACTTGATTTTTTCCTACATTGTAAGACCCACCACCACCACAAGATCCATTCAAATTATCCCCAGATGCTCCACCTGAGTATCCACCTGCTCCTCCACCATTACCATATGCTCCACCTCCAAATCCACCAACAGCATTGTTAAGCTTGGCACGACCTGTTCCTGCATTTATGAAGGCAAAACCTCCTCCTCCATATCCATAGTTACCATCAAATTGTTTACTACTTCTTCCATTGCTGTAAAATCTACCACAACCTCCACCTACAAAGAAAAAATAAAAATTTTCATTTATTATAGAAGCATATTATCAATATGAACTTTCTAAAGAAAATGAGGCTATATAGATATGAAATAATACATCGAAGAATGACTATAATAGATATATCCTTTGTACAAAGAATCAAGATAATCGCAAAGAAGTCGCCGAAAAGGATCTTACATAACCTGAATTGTATGAATCAGATGTCCAAATCAATAACATAGCAAGAAACGACAATGATAGAATTTTTCGCACAATCTGTACGAAGTGCTGGTTAACTGTTCTCGAAATTTTACTCGAACGATGGGACTGTACTTTGACAATTATATTATAAACACTTTGATAGGATATTTACAGTGGTTGTGCACGATTTTTACGTTACGGAGTTCCAAACGTTGGTATTTCATGATACGGAATATTTAAATTGATCTCGTTAAGATTACGGACAACCGTCAATCCTTATACTGCGATTTTGTACTTTATTGCCTTCTGCAATACGACTGCTAATTTAACAAATTTGTATGACCAGTTCATACACCACTAACGTCAACTTTTCCGAACTCCCGAGCCAACGCTTTCAAGCTATATTTATGTGTAATTATTAGGAAGTAGTTTTAAGCGTTTACATGACTTGCAACTTCGCCATTCCGTTCCTACCTACATCATACCGCAATGACGCATTGCGGTGAGAAAGTGTTCCCCTTACATTACTATAGTATTTTAGCTTTTACGCACAGGATTTCCACTGAAACCACAATTTTTAACAATCTACGTATTTTCTATTAATTTAATAATATAAGTTATAATCTATAATATAACACAGTCCCACGCTACATAACATGAGATGACAATTTACAATGGAATTGTTGAACTGATAGAAGTGAATGCAAAGTGACCGATATTATGCTTTGTAATGTTGATATCGTGAATTTATCTTAAATAACATAGGCAGTTTTTATGTCTATATTAACAACAGCTATATTGCACATTTTCATCGATTACACATTCCAATAAATTTTAGCATTTAATCAACGTGTAAGCACAAATAGTTTGTTGCAATATTTTCGAAATTATAACTGGCATTGATCCCAAAAAAATGCGAGGATTTTGCAGTAAGCTAATACTGAAAAATTTTTTAGCATCACTAATTATAAGCACGACTTAATTGTGATTGACGGAGTAAATCTTTGTTTACATTGAGAAGCACTGAAAACTTGCTATATTGTAATTTATTACCTCTGTATGTTGATCCGTATTTATCATAACCTCCCAGTGCACCAACAGCAATAATTTCATACGTTCCAGTGTAAGGCACTGTCCAATATTGGATACCTTTTGGTACTGTTACCATATTTTCGTGATCCTGACCATTTTAAAATTGAACAATTGATGTTGGAACTTGGCGACCAGTGGCTCCAAGATTTTTAAATCGGTTAGCACTATTTTCCACCCAGCAAACCGCCCTTTACTTTACACAATCGGAAATAAATTAAAGATGGCGGCTAATGGGAAAGAACCAAAAGCTAAAAGGAAACCATGCATGCACTGGTGCTAGGTCGTTTTGAGATGGCGAGTAATTTTATATTTTTATAATACAGTTTTTAATATCAACATATGAAAATATTTACAGATAAATGTTGCAGTATAAATTTTCATGCAACCACCTTAAGTTATAAACTTATAATCCAGGCTGGAAAATATGTCGTTTTTCGACGATTGTGTAAAATATTATATAAAATATTATATTGTGTAAAATATTAGATTGTGTAAAATATTATATTGTGTAAAATATTATATTTCAAAGTAAAGGGCGGTTTGCTGGGTGGAAAATAGTGCTAACCTTTTAAATCTTGCATTAAATTTCCTGAGCTCTAAAAAATTAATATGTCTTTGGTGCAAGCTATCACAAAACATTAAAACAAATCCCAAAAAGATTAGTAAGAAGATGAAGAAATTGGGGGCTAATAATTTTACATGCATGTTTAATCCGTTGAACACAATAGATTTCAAAGGAACTTTTATAATACTGCATATAATGCAGCATATACGAATATGAGTTTCCTTTCTCCCCACCCCTCTTTTTCTTTGCCTACGTTTCTTCAACATATATCAATATGATAAGTTGATAAGTTGAAAGGACAGAAACAGAAGTGCTTTTCATATATAGTAGCTTATAGGCATGAATTTTACGACCAGCGATGGTTATAGTTTCATCGTAGCACAAAATATATGAATCCTAATCGTTTGAAAATAATACTTACGTTTGTAGACGCTTTGCATTTGATTTATAATTTTCATCTTTGTATAGGTCAGCAAGAAACCTATCTCTTTTTTTAAGTTGAAATTTAAAAATATTAAAAATGACTGTACTCAAACTTTTTAAAAAATGCATCCGTCATGGCCGCCATGTTGGATGTTAAATGCAAAAGAATATTTTATTTATGCTATTGTGAACACCAGCCGCTGTGGGCGAGCCACATTGTTGCAATCCAAGAATCGCTGAGTCTTCCAATGCTTTTTCCTCGCGTTTCAATGTTTATTTAACGGACAATCTACGAACATCAATGGAGGCGGAACATTGATGATTGGAGGGCTGGCTATATTCATATATTCATATGTTATAATCCGTAAACGCAATTAGTTTCAATAGAATCTAATAAAGTGAAACATGCATATATGAATAATAGCCTCTCCGCCCCTCCCCAATCATCAATTTTTCGCCACCCCATGAGGAACATTGAAATGTTTCACATCACTTGCAGACGCACACACTCAATTTAACAAGTGAAGAATCTCGACAATAGCAAGTTTTCAACAGCAAGTCGGAGGCAATGCTCGCGCATCATTCTTTTCTTTAAAAATGTAAATATTATATCGCACATTCACTACCAGATAATGAAAGACATTTACTTTCGAAGGACATGAATGAAAATTTTATCGATAAATTTGCATTACATGACAAAAAGCTCAGGTAGTTTTTGTCTTTGCTGCAAGTATAACAACATTTAAAAAAGAGACTGCTTTATCATCAATCTGAAAGCAATTGTAGATGTTTTGGTTGTAATGATGCAGGATAAAGATCTGTAAAAAAATTCGCTTTGGTTTTTATCAAAGAACTCACTGTAAGGGCTTAGCCTTGCACTGCTCACATCGTATAATGACACAAGTGTTGTCTGTTTCTTTGTTATAACAATGCAGCATGTTAAATTATGGTTTCGACATACTTTCATTATAATGCAGCATATTAATCTTTGCTAGATAGACAGTGGCATAGCTCAAGCTGATGGCGCCCTTGTCAAAAATTAGCTTTTAGCTTTTTCCCCTCACTCGGGACATTCTTGCGACGCCACTAGCACATTTACACTATAAAGTTTGAAGACTGAGGATATAGAAGTTCAAGTTTATGAATCGCACTTTGAATAATGACGCTGTTTTTATCTTTACACATGAAAATTCTACACTTATCAAACTGTCATTGCTACAGAAAATGTTTAATTGTAAACATCTATTTTCACACGGCGTACATAAAACATCAAACAACACAACGGACAAATGAAAACATCTGGCTCCTCCCAGACAAGAAAAAAAACATTGTTTATGTTACAATAGCTGTAGTATGTGAGAAATTTTGTCTTTGACATATTTCATAGGTGTAAAAAGTCTTGTGAATAGCTGAATTAATTCCGTCTCTTTGATATTTCTCGGTAATTTTTTGAAAATCATATATCAGTATTATATCGTAATGATAATGAAAATATCATGAGTAAATAGTTCTTAAGAGAGGCGTGTCGGTGGATTAATTTGTCGGGTTTTTTATATTTCTAGCGTTCAGTTTGAGAAGTACATTGTTTTACATATCTATTATGATATATTTTACAACGATGTATTTTACAAGTATACAATATATTGTATACTTGTAAATATATCGTTAAAAATTTTTCTCGAATAAAAAAAATAAATCTATAAATTTTTAAAGGAAACAAGTGTTGCAAGTTGAAAGTTAACAAGCAAAGACTACAAATTACTTTTTGGCTAATGGGAATATTTTGTTGACAATACTGTAGCCAATTGCTATATATATTTCAGTGTCATGAAAGCTGGGTCTTATCATCCGCAATTTCAGCTTGTTTATGAAAGTTTAAAGAGGGTCACTTATGAAGCAGTACTCCTATTTGCACAGATGTATGCACTCATAAGCAGACTTTTAATTTTTCTTTAAAATTTTGCTTTGTGATTGTTTGTGTCTGACATAGAAAATTATTTGAAGAACAAAATTTTACATGACATATTTTCGTATAAATTGAAATTTTTATGCAATCTAAAACAACCGTAACTCGAGCTAAACACTATGATTGTCTTCATTTGCGCATTTTAATTACACTATTATCGAAAGCACGACATACAACAACTCATTTCAGACTAAGTTGCCTTTTGTTTACATGCCATCCTGTAGCATGCACAACAGCTTTTTGAGGGAAACAATTGAGGATGGACTTATGTATTTAATTAGTGTAATGGTGAGATAGTTTCTGTGTTTAATTGTGTTCACTTCTCTTGAACAAATCAGCATCTGAGTGCAAGCGAATGTCTAAAATTGCTTCTTTTATTTCCACCAGGCAATCTTCAAAGGATTTAAGTTGAATGGGAGGATTTGCAAAATTGAAACAAAGCAAACGACCAAAAATTACAAATTTCATGATAATGTTTATTTGCATAATTTCAAACTCATCAAAGCTGAATTTCACTATCAGTACTTCAGCTTTATTTGTACATGACAGTTAGATAGAGGTCACTTATGAAGCTGTATTGCTTTTAATGGATATTGCATTTGCAATAATTGTGTGTGGAAAAAAACGCATAACAAAGTTAATTAATAAAAATAAAATGCCTAAGAATTTTACAAAAGCAATTTAACGTTTGAAAAAAATAGAAAGTTTTTCCGATTGGGCAAATTGTTTCATTAATGCAATGCGAAAACGGAAATTTAGTTTGGAAAAATAATTTATATACATATCTGTATAGGCTACATGCATGAATACAGAAGCCTTAACCACAACGGTGACAGGTGAATTTGTCGTGGATTCCAAATGCGTTGTGTTTGCCTCCAACTTTGTTTTTACAACACAGTTAAACTTCTTAGTAAATTATTGCATTTTCTTTAGAAAATTAATTACATCAAAATATTTGCATTCTAGGATTAAGAAACAGGTTATCTTGGGGAAATCTACAACTGATGCGAAAGGCTTAACCTCAACTGCGCATGACATGCATATGGCATGCTTGGATACACATCAGCGATAATGAATTTTCTGAGATAAGAGAAATTTATGAAGAGTTAAGTGAAATATTGATTCGTTAAATTATACATAATTATAAACAATGCTGATAGGAAATCTTAAAAAAAACTTTTTCCTTATCATTTTCTGTCCATCATTAAGTTTCTACGTGTTTAAATTTCATCCTCGACCATAAGAGTTTTTATAGTTTAGCTCTTTTAATAAATTATTCAATAATCATTTCTGCAGTAGTATAAAAACACGCGCCCTTGCTTTTAACTGCATAGCAGCTACATTCATTGAAACGACAAAGAAAAGTTTGAATAATCTATTCCAAGGTAACAAATTAGTTTTGGTATGGACATCTATAGGTAGAAAGCCAAGTATGTTAGCTGCGTGAGACTTGATTTATGTTTCAACATTTTAGATTTTAATGTCTATATTTTTGTTTTTAAGGAATGATGAATAAAATCCAAGTGATGATATCGATATTTCTTGTCTTGATGATGACTCAGCAAAGTCATGGAGGACGTTTTTTAAGTTTCTTTGACGAATGTGAGGGGGTTTCTTGCAGAAAATTTACTACAGCTTTAAAAGGAGGTAACTTCTGTAAACTACATTTTATAAAGTTTCACAGCAAAATTTACATACAAAAACTCAAATTCAAGTTCGAAACAAAAAACTGAAGATGTTCATCACAGTTCATTTTTTTCCTATTTTATGTGATGGCAGGAACATGTTATGCTGACTGCCACAAATGTAACAATAAATGTTGCAAACAAGTTGGAGTTTGTCGATATTGTTATTCAACTTCCATGCGTATGCAAAAAGTTCCTGAAAAAAATTGCTTCTACAAGCGAGAAAGATTTTACAGGAAAAGAAACCTTGTCTCCTTTTAACTTACTTTAGCAGCTAATACAAGTGCCTTTTATTTCTCGCATTTAATTTATGATAGAAAATTACTGCAATTATTTAAATTTAGATTATGCTAATTTCTATAGTTTATGACTGTGAATAAATAGAAATTAGTTCGGTATGAGATCAAATAAATCACTGTGCAAATGTCGAATAAAGG